CCTCGTGCTGCACCGTGTCTGTGTACAAACAACCGTTTTTCTTGAGGGAAACAGGCTGTCTTCGCTTCTGACGGCCCAGGTATGACCAGCACCTGACACACACATACACACACAAACACATAGTGAAGTCATAGCATGAAGAGAACCTGTTCTGATCTTCCTCTATCTGTCTCACCCCTTGTTTCCTGTCTGTCTCTACTGTCTCTATTGTCAATAAAGGCTAAAATGCGTAGTAGTAGTAGTAGAATAGTCTCACATGCAGATATTACCAGCGGAGTGACAGTGGAAATACATCAGTTGTTTCAATTTTATACTTCCACTAGATTTCAGAGGGATATGTACTTTATTCTGCGTGATATGTATCTGAGAGATGCATAGATTACATAGAGTACTTTAATACTTATGTACTTACCCAGATCCAGAGAAGAAGTAGAGATAATTCCGATGCCACCAGCGCCTCCACACAAAGCGAATGCAGGTGGATTCATGGAAGGTCAACAGGGCTCTAATGATGATGTTGCGCTCATTACTGGCTGCAGAGACAAAGCACAGGCTGCTGGTTAGTGTTCTACACCCTCCGTCAAACATAGTACAGTAACTTACACCTACAGCTTCTCAAATCATTCTCCTTCACTTTAAAATTTCTCCTTTCACATCAGGTAGTAAACACAGATTATAAATTATGAATCATTCCCTCATCCTCAGTTTTTGAGTCTCCATTTCTGACTATAAACAACATATATATGCTAAGACCAGTGGTGGATCCTTACTTAAGTGAAAGTACTAATACAACATTGTGAATATACTCAATTATAGATTATAGAGATTTGGGAATGGTTATTTAAATGTAACTATCTAAGAAGTTTAAAAGGTAAAGGTATTTTTGGTGGAGCTGGTTACAGGGACACTACTTTTGTAAGGAGTCAAAAAAAAAAAAATGGAGCACTGGTATAATATTTGCTAATGTGAAGATGTGGTTCCCATCCTGTGGGCTGTGAAGGTATTGCAAGTAGCCTGACAAATGAAATGGGGTGCAGTAGAAGTCATAACATGATATAGAATTATTTAAGTAGAAGGAGAAGAAACTCATAATTGCATTTATGTACAGTACTTCAGCAAATTTTCCATCGCTGGTTAAGACAATGCTTCTTTGTTCCAATGAAAGATTTTTATTTTTGCATAATAATCTCTTTGCTTCTATAATGGAAACTTTGAAGTTCTTAGTGGAACCAAACAAAGCTGATGTTGACTAGATGACTACTTACTGTATGTGGAGGAGATACTGACGGGAACTCTGACGTATCTTCCACGTTTACGCCACTTGCAGCCTCTGGCTGTGCAGGGGTCAGCGTTCCTGTTTAAATTTGGTACAATGTCGCCGTGGGTCAGGGGCGTTGCTGCAGGAAAACAAACACTTATATGAATATTAAAGCCAGGAATGTAGGGTTTTACTTATTTGAGACAAATTCTCTTTTTAATTTGAAAACCAAAAAGCTAACATCTTTTTTCATTATTGATTCATCTGTCCATTATAATGATCATTTGATTAGTCATTTAGTCTTAAAAATGTGAGAAAATTGTGAAAAAGGTCCTTGTGAAGTAAATTACTTCTTTTGTCTGACAAACAGCAAAACTCAAAGATTTTCAACTTACAAAGACATATTAGGAAGAAATTCCCAAATCCTCAAATTTGACAATCTTAAACCAGTTTATCTTTTCCTTGATAAATTGACTAATCAATTAATTCTTTCAGTAAGTTAAAACTTGTGCCTTACTTATGCCCTTATTGGCTCTTGCAATGACTTCAGAGACGTCCAAAGATGTGTCTGGAGGCAGAGAGGAGCAGCACTGTAACATGTGAATTATCCACATTTTGGATCTTGATATCTGAGAAATTCCCCATTATTCTACTCACCTGTTTGATCTCCATCATCAGTCGCACCCTGCAACACAAAGGCACAACATTTTAAATCATGTTTCCTACTGTTGCAGATGTTGCTTGGCAACATTCTTTTGCTGTCAACTTAAAGCTCACAAAATCCTTTAAAAACTAACTGGAACATTATCTCAAAAAAAGCATAACAAGGATGTTTTTTCTCTCAGTTGATACTGTGAAGATTCCTGGTTTACACATGACAGCAGAGACTGTTTAACATCATAATCTCAGTGTGGAAAGAGTCAAACTCACTGGAGGAATGGATGTCAATGAGAAGAAGAGGAGGAAGAGGAAAACAGGAGTCATGACGATGGTCTTCTCCAGTTAAACTTCAAATCTGAAAATACAGGACAATCTGAACAGTGTTTAGCCAATGAGGAATGTTTGGTTCAAAATCAGTGAGATAAGAAGAGAAAGAATAAGGAGGACAATAGTGGAGTTTACCTGATGTAGCAGGAGTCTGGTGCCGGATGCAGCAGGTGCTCAGCTCCTCACTCTTTATAGGCAGCACTCACAGGGTGGGGCTGAAGTTTTACCTTGATCTCTCAGCTCAGGTCACATTTATTTCAAGCTGCCGACCTAGAAAAATTCAGCCAACAATGATTTTACCGGAAGGAATATAGATGGTGGAAATATTTAGATCCATCAGTATTTTCATTTTATTGAACTACTTTATTATTGTTGGGCGATATAATCTATAAGAAAAAAATCATCGTTTTATTTTTTATGTGTAAAATCCAAATTTTAAGTAACTATAGCAGCCAGATGAGTGTGAATGTCAATATTTCCCTCTGAACTGTAGCTGAGTCGAAAAACAAACTCTAAACAACAGTGAGCCCTGATGCCTGTAGGGAGGAATGTGTCAAAAAGAACAATCATCTGAAAAATGTGGCAGCCATGACGTTCATTTCGACACACAGGTGTTGGGGGTTTAATGGCTTGTTTCTGTGAACTTTAACAAATATGTTTCAAGAAGGCAAAGCCTGTGCTCTTCTCGGGGATGAGGCATTTGTTACGTAAAGTAAAGATCTGAGCACAACATCATTCATCAGTCGACTGGCAGAAGAATGCATGTGAATAGATGAGTACTGTTCAAATGGTCTAGAAACCAGGGAACATTTCTTATTTTTAAAAAGCCTCTCGTGAAAAGACACAAAATCAAATACAACAAATTTTAAGAAACTATATTGACAGTTTTAACTCATAAAAGTGACTTAAACAACAGAAGGAAAAGACAAAATATTTTAACACAAGTCTCTTTCGAAACTAACAAATAAATGCAACATGTTTTGGGACATAATACGGATACTTCAGTTTTGTCTATTCATACACGTGTATGTATCGCAATCAGGGCTGCAATTAACAGTTATTTTCATCAATCATTCAGTCTATGAAACATCAGAAAATATTGAAAAATGCTCATTAAAATTTCCGTCAGACCAAGTTGATCCAAAAACCAAAGATGGAATGACTAAAACTATGAGTTTCAATAAAATGATTGCAGATTTATTTTCTATTAGTCAATTAACCAACTAATTGTTGTAACTCTGATCTTGAACCGAGGTGAAGCCAGAACTTGGGTTTCATGACAGAAGTGAGAAAATATCATTCAAAATCCCACTGACATATGTAACTGCACCAGTAACTGGAAATCGAGTTTTTCATCAATATGTCACGTGGCTTCATGTTTTATATAAAGATGGTAGTTTTTCGTGTAACAATCTAATATTATTGTTTATTCTATATTTATGGTTTTTAGCAGCCTTTAAGTAACAGTATCTATCTATAAGTAGACGTTCATGGGCTAAACGTCACAGCTTGACAGAAGTAAGTCGAAAGGTTTTGGTTAGGGTTAGAGTGGGACCATAAACTATGAGGAAGTAAAGTCAATGTCAACAAAACAGAGGTTAAACATCAATGACCTTTAGCCAACTGAACCCAAACTACGTCACCCAACTTGTTCATCAGGAAATATGTTTTTAAAAAGCTAAACAACTAAAAAGCAAAAGCAGAGCTGAATTGCTGAAAAAGCTGTGAATGGCTGGAAGCTAAACCGTACGCATTGAGATGTTTATTTTGAATGTCTTTAATGTCCCTGAAGCTAGTTGTAGGGCTCGTATTAACTTTGGGATATTAAATACTTGCAGTGACAAGATGAAGAGAACCCATGATCCAAACTGTACTGTACATCTCTGTTAAGATGGTGGTGAAGTGCTGCCTCCTTCAGGTGGAAGTAAAGAATCACACATTTATTTTTGTTGATTTTATTGAAGAAATATCTCAGTTAACAGTTGAAATTAAATTTCATTATAGACCATAAATGCTTAATTTCAAGTATTTAAACAGAAAAAGAACACAAGCATCATTTAATCAAGTAATTACTTAATATTTGAAAAACAGCTTTCACAATGCAGAATGATCCATCACAGCAGATGTTTAGTTGTTTAACTTGTTCAAACTCTCTGTATTTCTCAGTTGGTTATGTTTATTTCAGGGCTGCATCAACAATCATCAAAATACATCATTGAGTCTCGGCTTTGTGTCAATACACTCGGCAGAACCATCACCAAATCATATCCTTTTTATCTGAAAACCAATAAAAGATTTAATTCAAATCACAGATGGTTAAAAAAAAAAAAAGACTGAGTAAAAGTTGTTGGTATTTGGTCTGACAGTAGCAGAAAGAGGTGTAATACCACCACCGTCCAGCAGGTGGCTCTGCAGTCTGAAATTAGGAGCCAAAGTTTAGCCTCTGCTCCATGAGCCCCAGAACGAAATGTTTCCCTCATCAGTCTTTCTGATAAGCTGCAACATGTTACTGGACTGGAGCTGCAGATCTAACTGAACTTTAAGATCAGACAAATGTTATATGAATAGTTTTTGTAATGGCTTTCTCAATTATTGTTTTTTTGCAGATGTTGAAGCCAGATCAATGAAAAACAGTCCATTTTGGATACAGATTCTTAACATTTAAACCTTATTTTTTACCTGTGCTGCTGTTAAATGGAAATCTACACCTATCTGTATATTACCAGTATGACTTGGTAGAAAAACTGTTTGGTATTCAGTTACTACATTGGTAAAGCGCGTTGACACGGGCGATGTCGTTAGCGCTCATGGTTGTAGCTTGTCCAAAGTTCAGGTTAGGATCGCTCTTGGCGACGATGGTTGGCTGCCCATTTTTGGAGAAGGCAAACCTTGAGGAGGAAACAAACACAACATTGTTGGTACATTGAGTTACACACCTTCCCCTAACAATGTAAGAAAAAACTGTGTCACTTATGTAATTTAATCTTGTATAAATTTGATTTATAGTATATTAATACTGTAAACATTTGTAAACACAGATGCATGCACTAACACACTCACTTGCTGTAATGCATGACAGACTCGAAGTCATAGGGAGTGTTCAAGTTGTTAGTCTGCACCTTCTGGAAGTTTGATTCCACTCCTTCAGGGATGAGAGAACATTTGAAATATTTCAGCATGGCTTTTATCTCTTCACCTGTTTTGTCCTTCAGTTAGCAGTCAGCCTACTTTTCCATTATGGATTCAAACCTCACAACAATCATCAAAACAAAACATTGCTTAATAATATAAAACAATATTGCTTCATTTATTCTTTTACAATTTATCGATTCATCATTTTGTCAATAAGATGTCAGATAATAGTTATATATATATATATATATATAAATTATATATGATTGTATATATATATATATATATGATTTTTTTTTCTTTACCAATCGATTAATCAACTAATCGTTACAGCCCTTGACCAAATAGGCTACATGCAATACAAATGGCATTCCCATCAGCCTCAGCTGTACTTTGTGTTTAGCGCTAATTAGCAACTAGCTAACACACGAACCAAATGTGGACCGTGGTAAACATTGAAAACTGCGTAGCCTCAGCTTATTAGCATTGTCACCAGACATAAGCATGTTAGCATGCTAACATAGCATTTATCTCAAAGCACCGCTGTGCCTACGTAACATGCAGTCTTGTAAGTCTGTTTTTGCTGTAATTTGCCCATAGAAAAGTTTTTGTGGCCGAGCTGACCTGGCCGGATGTTCTGGAAGAGGATATTGACGTGTTGGTCCCTGTCGGAGCGGACTTGCTCGTGGTGGAAACCGAGAGCGTGGAGGACCTCGTGCTGTACCGTGTCTCTATACAAACAACCGTTTTTCCTCAGGGAGACGCGCTGTCCTCTACTCTGACGGCCCAGGTATGACCAGCACCTGACACACACACACAAAGTCAAATCACAGTAAAGGGAAAACGGGTATTGTTGACACTTTCCTGGTCTCTTGTGTCTGTGTTGTTTGACAAATGTTGAAGGAGTCATTGGATAAATGGATGCATGTTATCTTCCTCTCCCTCTCTCTCTATCCACCATCAGCAGGACTGCATCATTTGTCTGATCCTTACAAAACTTTTGAATCACTGCTGCGAACAGAAAACCTGTTTCTGCTCTGACCCTGCTGTAGTAAAGATTTGACAGGGTTTTGTCTCTTATACAGTGGTACAAAGTACTGTACTTATATAAAAGGTACTTTTCCTGAGTATATCAATTTTATGTTACTTTGTACTTGTTGTACTTATTTCACTACTGCCAGAATGAAACATGATGAACCAGCATAGATCAAAACAAGTGTTTGAATGTGTCAATCCTGCCTTTTCATGCTACCGTGGCTGTGTGTGTGCATTTGTGTGTGTGTGTGTGTGTGTTCTTACCCAGATCCAGAGAAGAAGTAGAGATAATTCCGATGCCACCAGCGCCTCCACACAAAGCGAATGCAGGTGGATTCATGGAAGGTCAACAGGGCTCTAATGATGATGTTGCGCTCATTACTGGCTGCAGAGACAAAGCACAGGCTGCTGGTTAGTGTTCTACACCCTCCGTCAAACATAGTACAGTAACTTACACCTACAGCTTCTCAAATCATTCTCCTTCACTTTAAAATTTCTCCTTTCACCTCAGGTAGTAAACACAGATTATAAATTATAAATCATTCCCTCATCCTCAGTTTGAACAGTGTTATCATCATCTTCATTTCACGCCTCCTCACTATTATCACTATGGATTTATCACAGTTTTAGTTTGATATTAGTTTGAACTTTTTACAGTTACACATCTTACCTTTTAGTGGATGTAAATACTAAAGAAAGCATGCTGAACTGAAGTCAACAAAGTTCAACTGGTTTCCAGGTTTTAAATGACACCACAAGTAAGAACCAAAATTTGCTAAATAACATTTCAGTCTCCATTTCTGACTATAAACAACATATATATACTAAGACCAGTGATGGAGCCTTATTTAAGTGAAAGTACTAATACAACATTGTGATTATACTCCATTATAGGGTCAGCAGATAAATCTGAGGGTCAAGAAATGATTAATGGGAGAGGAAAGAAGAAAAACTGTGTTTTTTGTGATGTAATAATCTTTGGCCATTCAATATTTATTTTAATGAAGCGATCTTAGGAGTTTAAAAGGTAAATTCCCTTTGATGAAACTGGTAACTCAAATATGTAAAACCTGATGAGGGGACACTACTTTTTAGGAGTCACAAGTCAAAAAGAGATGGAGCTATGGCTTAACATTTGCTAAATGTTGAGTATTTTACAAGATGTTTTTTATTTATTTATTTATTTTATGTTAAATCTTAATCTGAAAATTAACTTTTTGCTGTAGGTACCAGATAAATGTAGTGCAGCAGAAGTCGTAACATGATATAGAATTACTCAAGTAGTCCAAGAAACCCATAATTAGTACAGTACTTCAGTAAATGTACTTAGTCATTTTCCATCGTTGGTTAAGACAATACTTCTTTGTTCAACTGAAAGATTTTTATTTTTGCATAATAATCTCTTTGCTTCTATAATGGAAACTTTGAAGTTCTTAGTGGAACCAAACAAAGCTGATGTTGACTAGATGACTACTTACTGTATGTGGAGGAGATACTGACGGGAACTCTGACGTATCTTCCACGTTTACGCCACTTGCAGCCTCTGGCTGTGCAGGGGTCAGCGTTCCTGTTTAAATTTGGTACAATGTCGCCGTGGGTCAGGGGCGTTGCTGCAGGAAAACAAACACTTATATGAATATTAAAGCCAGGAATGCAGGGTTTTACTTATTTGAGACAAATTCTCTTTTTAATACATTTAAAACCAAAAAGCTAACATCTTTTTTCATTATTGATTCATCTGTCCATTATAATGATCATTTGATTAGTCATTTAGTCTTAAAAATGTGAGAAAATTGTGAAAAAGGTCCTTGTGAAATAAATTACTTCTTTTGTCTGACAAACAGCAAAACATTTTCAACTTACAAAGACATATTAGGAAGAAATTCCCAAATCCTCAAATTTGACAAGCTTAAACCAGCAAATCTTTTCCTTGATAAATCAACTAATCGGTTAATTATTTCAATAAGTTTTATTGTATTTTTGCCATCATATATTTCTATTTTATTAATAAGAGTTGGATCATATAAAACTTGTGCCTTACTTATGCCCTCATTGGCTCTTGCAATGATCTCAGAGACATCCAAAGATGCGTCTGGTGGCAGAGAAAACAGAGGAAATCAGAAACAAGGAGCAGCACTGTAACGTGTGAATTATCCACATTTTGGATCTTGATATCTGAGAAATTCCCCATTATTCTACTCACCTGTTTGATCTCCATCATCAGTTGCACCCTGCAACACAAAGGCACAAAATTGCACAATTATAAATCTTGTTTACTACTGTCATTTTTGCAGCTGTTGCTCAGCAACATTCTGTCGCTGTCTAGTGAAAATCTGACCTTTTTAAGATTTTTTTTCCTAAAAACTAAAGGATTATGTGCTCCATTATCTCAAAAAACATCATATTCCCAGTGTGGAAAGATTCAAACTCACTGGAGGAATGGCCGTCAATGATAAGAAGAGGAGGAAGAGGAAAACAGGAGTCATGACGATGGTCTTCTCCAGCTAAACTTCAAATCTGAAAATACAGGACAATCTGAGCAGTGTTTAGCCATTTAGGAATATATTCAGAGCGAAATCAGTGATGTAAGAATAGAAAGAAGGAGAAGGAGATCAGTTGAGTTTACCTGATGTAGCAGGAGTCTGGTGCTGGATGCAGCAGGTGCTCAGCTCCTCACTCTTTATAGGCAGCACTCACAGGGTGGGGCCCAGGTTTTTCCACTGTCTGCCAACTCAGATGTCAATCACTTTTTCTCAAAAACATTCCTAACATTGATTTAACAGGAAGAAAAACATATCAACATGAAGTCATCGTGAGGTGGAGGATGTATTTTAGACCCTTGAGTAAAAGTAGCAATAGAATACTAATGTAAAAATATTCATTAAACAGGAAACTGACCCTTGTAAGTGTTATAATATTCTATATTATAATTATGTGCTTGCTGTACTGTTAGTAAAGATGGCATATATTATAATTCGTCATACTTATTTTTTTGTATTCATCATCCGTCAAAATTACGGCGCATAACGAGTCCTGCAGCTTTGAGACAATCCAGACAAAGTATATATTAAAACGTGCGACTTGATCAGGAATGGTGTACAAATGATGAACGTGAACGTGAGCCGCGTTCACTCTCGCTCATGGTTGTTTTACGGCACACCGCATGGTGTCTCCATAGACACGGCCCAGCATGGCTGGTGCTAGCGGCACAGGCGCATCTACTACTGCTGAATCCAGTTCTTTTGAGCATTTGAAGCAGTTTTATGAACAAACAAGTGAAGACTTGGATTATATACAGATTTTAAATGTAACTCATGTCTGTTTTTCTTCAGTGGTATACATAATTCATTTAGTTTGGGAGTGGCAATGATTTGGAGCTGGTGAACAGAACAAATGAACGTGAACTAGTTAATTTTCATCTGTATGAACTGAACTTTGAAGTAGTTTTTAAGTGTGAACTGGCACAACACTGGCGATGTAAATGACGAAAAACATAAATGCCCGTAAGTGCAGAGAGTGCTGCTGTTAACCTCGCTATTTACTATGACAACTAAGGGCCACACCTTTGTAAACTGTGTTTTCCAAAGGATGAGGCCCCTGAATTGCAACATGTATGCGCGTGTGCTTGTGTGTGTACATGTCTTTCTATGATTGTGAGGACAAATGTTGATTTGAAGCCGTTATTGTGAGGTCATTTTAGCCAATCCTGAAAACTTCAAAGGGCTTTTGTGAGGGTTAAGCTTAGGCAGTTTCTAACAACCACGCACACACAATGACAGACACACAAACACCATCTCCATTTATGGATATTCACCTTCAAAATATGAGTCTCAACCAAGTAAGAGGGTTAGGGCTAATGGAGACTCTGTTGTAGAAAGGTTAAGTAGTTTCTACTGAAAGTATTACCAGCTATGCCTCAAATTTCCCTAGATGAATTCCACCATCAAATCCAGCATCGGACTCTATGATGCAGTGCTCCCTCACATCCATTCACACAAATACCCAGCAGCATCTAACAGCTGATTGATATGCACCAAGCAGCAGTTTTCGAAATTTAACTACTTTATTATTATTGTCATCATATGGTAACTGTGTAAAATCATTTAGGCACAAACTTTAATGTCCTCTTTCTGTTCATTTTAACAACAGTGTCTCAGATTGCAAAGCACCACCCAGGGATGAGGCAATCATTACATAAAGAACTGTTTCAATACATCAGCACATCATCATTCATCAGTCAATTCATCAGTTTGTTGTCTGTTGACAGCAGAATGCATGTGAATGGATTAGTAGTTTTCAAATGGCTTGTTGTTCACTTTGACACAGAGGGGCTTGGGCTAGAAACCAGGAAACACTTATTATTCTTAAAAGCTTCCCGTAAAATGGCACAAAATCAAATAACATATTCAAAACATGGAAGGAAAACACAAAATCACAACGTCTCTGACAATTTAGGTATACAGTACTTTATTTGTATACAAGCTTTGAAATTCATGTGCATGTATTGGAGTATGTCAGGAAATATATGTCTTACATAAATTCCACACAAAAGAGCCAGCACATTCAGATCCATTCATCTGACGGAAGGTATAGGAGCAGTAATAAGAGTCATTACATAACAATAATCTCTCATGTGAGCTTTGTTTTCCACAAACACAGAAGAAGATGAACAAGTCTTTAAGTCTTTAGTATTATTGGAGGCTTTAGAGCAGCTGTGCAGTGAGGTTGATTGTTGAAGTTGACATTTAAATTTCACTTCCACTGTGAACAAAACACAGGAATGTAGCATGACTGTCACTTGGTTGCGTGCAGATATTTCACATACTATACTCAAGGTGCTTTATTGTTCAGGCAAGGCCAGACTACAGCATAAGTTAGATGCACGCTATCAATAATATCTCATGGAATAGACTTGTATCTTTATTCCTGTGAGTTAAACCCATTAGTTTAACTTCTGATATGAGGCTTTCATACTTTAATGTGCTCTTATAGAGACAACAATATTATATGGTACAAATTATAAAAAAAAAAAGAAAAAGTGATTGACTGGTTCGGTTGATATATACCTCACCTGTAGTGATATCCCTCACTTGTAAGTCGCTTTCCATAAAAGTATCTGCAAAATGAGTAAATTTAAATGAATGTTTTGCTAAAAGACCAATTTCATATAGGTTGGAAAACTACACACATTTCTCTAATACACTTTGCTTGCAAATTTAATAAAATGTATTTATTTATTTACTTTAGGAAGGGATCTCTTAACACACACAATATGAACAGCAGGAATGATTACATCAAACAAACCCTGTGTCAGTGCTCATGTGAGCACCACTGAAAATACAGTATGTGAACCTGTCCTTTAAACCCAATGGAATAAGACGATAGTCAGTATAACTGTTGTGGAGGTATTAAGAAAAGAGACAGACTGCATCACTACGTCTGTAGTTAAAAAACAAGACGAGGTCAGAACCTAATATATGGCTGGACTGCCTACCGTGAAATCCTGATTTTCTAACCATGACGTCGTCTGACAAAATCCCAAAACATAGAAATGAAAGAAAAAAAGACTGAGCTGTGATTTTGGCTAGTTTTACTTATGAAATGATCGCTTAGAGAGAAAGTTAGAAGAGATAGATTATCTTTCTTTTATTTAAAGTTATTTTTCAGGCTTTTGCCTTTAATACAGTCATAGAGAAAGAGAGAGAGAGAGAGAGCAAAGGGCCACAGAAACCTGGGCCACCAGGTCAAGGACTAAAAGGTGAATTAGTACACACACTACCAGGTGAGCTACTGAAGAGACTGATTTGAGATAGACTTTATTTCTTATTTTGTCTCTCACACAGCTCACAGCCTCCATCTGGGATCCACAATAGTTTAGCCTTTATTCACTTCCAACTCCAGAACGTTACAAACTTTATTTACAAAAAGTCCAACTCTCTCTGTTTGATATGTAGAACTGGTCATAGTGGTTAAGCCTCATTACCGATTTACTAAACGAGGCACGCCTCTCTGCTCGGCGTGCCTCGTTTAGTAATAATGATACATGTAATGAAAGTAGCTCATTTGCCACAATGAAGGCGAGACTCAGTGTATTGGAAGCGCTCATCCACTATGCTGCAGCTCCTGAGCAGCCGGGGAACCAGAGCGGCTCGGTAGACATCAGTGGTGGAAATGACATCACTCAGTCAGTCAGCCAGTCAGTGAGGGACATTTGTAATTATAGGTCTGGCCCCTTGCGGTCCAGCCTTAAACTATCTCATTAATCGTTACATTTGTTGGCAAGCTGGCACAGAGCCGGTTTGCGGCTGCTACTTTTGTACCTGTCTGTAATGAGCAGGTATGTATGAGTATGTGTGATGCCTCACCTGCAGCTGACTGAACAAGCAGGAGAGTTTTAGAAACACGTGACTGGGAAATTACTAAACAGATTTACTCAAAAATACAACTTACTTGTACTTTACTTGAGTATTTCCATTTTATGCTACTTTCTATAACTCCACAACAATTCAGAGGAAAATATTGTACTTTTTACTTCACAGTATTTTTACACAGCTACAGTGACTAGTTACTTTTCAGATTAGTATTTTACATATGATATTTAGTGCTTTTTTTAGAGATTAAACCAGTGGTTCCCAATCTTTTTAGCTTGTCATCCATCCTAAAAGAAAACTTGAATAACTGTTTAAGGGCCAAAGAGGTCAAATTATCCAATAATTCACAAAAATGCAAAGCATCAAAAGTAAAATAGATGAGTGAGATTTAGTGTCAGAATTTAGTTTCTTCTTTTTTCCTCATCCAAACAGTCAGATTTATGTTGTGACCCTCTGGGGGACCTGACCCTTCGATTGGGAACCACTGGACTAATCAATAGAATAAAATGTTATACTATGTTAAAAATAGCCTTACCTCTACCAGCCAATGTTTACGTATTACACGTTGATACATCAGTGCCAATTTAATAATACAATAAATAAAAATATATCAGTAACAGGACATTTCTTCTTTAGAATGAATACTTTTAATTTATAAACGTGTTGCTGGTAATATGTCTGGAGTCAGCATAAATGATGCACACACACAAAAACTATGCGTACGCCATTTCCGGCAAATAAATTGCACAAAATGTGCGACAAGAATATGCGCATTCTTATGATCATGCGGCACATGGTTTTCCAAAGTCTTACAAGTTACAGTGAAGTGAAAATACAAAATGAGCTGAGACACGTACTTTAACATAAAATAAAACGAACTTCGCAGTCATTATTATAAGTACAAGTTTACACAGCAATAACAATTTTACAATTCATAAACGGAAATAATTGTGATTATGTGCTCAATGTTTCCTTTATCATCATTTAATATCCTTATTATTTATTGTGAGGCATTCTGTAAACTGTTTCAATACTATTTTAATATTTACTTATCACAATTTTCACAATTAATCACAAAGTCTGCTAGCCTAATTAAAACGTCTCTAGTCCCAATAAATGAAGTTCGGAATAAAACTGATCTTTACATTTGTTGTGTCTCAACCTTCTTGTCTGTGCGATGCCTGATAACTTGTGGCACAGACAGTGTTTTTTTTATGCAAACTATTTGATTAAGGGAGTGTCTTCATCCATTTATGGCTAATTATGGAAGTGGAAATAAGACTCATGCACGTGCCCAATTTTCTCAATAAGTGAGATTTATAAAATGGAACCATTTGTACACACAGCAACAAAAATAATGCGTATGCACACTTATGGTTTTGTGCGCACACATAATTTTAGTCATGAATCTACACAGAGTTTTATGCATCTGGCCCCTGGAGTTTTACCTCTGATTGCAGGACTCTTGTAATGGAGTATTTTTACATTTCTGGTAAAATTAAAGTTAAGTATCTGAGTACTTCTTCAACCACTGCTGAAAATACCCAGTTCAATGTACACAGCATAAAACATGGGCTATTTTATGCATTGTATCCAGAGTTAAAGACCAACTAGTAACGTGACTGATAACATTTGTTACTGTCCAAGTCAAGTGTACAGCTCCACCTACTGAAACCTGCTTAAATATGTGAAAAGTCATGGAGCTGTATATCCATTTAAAACAAATTGTAAACTGATTTGGAAAACTGCAAAACTCCAAATTGTACTGTACATCTCTATTTATCCTTTTGGTGAAAGTAAAGAATCTCACATTTATTTTTGTTGATTTTATTGAAGAAATATCTCAGTTAACAGTAGAAAAGAAAACAAAGTCTTTGATTATAAACCATAAATGGCTAAATGTCTTGTATTAAAAAAAAAAAAAAAAAAAAGAATAAACACAATTGGCGTTTAATCAAGTCACTACTGCATATATGAAAAACAGCTTTCACAATGCAGGATGATCCATCAGAGGATGTTTAGTTGTTTAACTTGTTCAAACTCTCTGTATCTTTGTTGGTTATGTTTATTTCAGGGCTGCATCTGTCAAAAACTTTCATCAACAATCATCAAAATACATCAATGAGTCTCGGCTTTGTGTCAATACACTCGGCAGAACCATCACCAAATCATATCCTTTGTATCTGAAAACCAATAAAAGATTTAAATCAAATCACAAATGGTTAAAAAAAGACAGTAAAAGTTGTTGGTATTTGGTCTGACAGTAGCAGAAAGAGGTGTAATACCACCACCGTCCAGCAGGTGGCTCTGCAGTCTGAAATTAGGAGCCAAAGTTTAGCCTCTGCTCCATGAGCCCCAGAACGAAATGTTTCCCTCATCAGTCTTTCTGATAAGCTGCAACATGTTACTGGACTGGAGCTGCAGATCTAACTGAACTTTAAGATCAGACAAATGTTATATGAATCGTTTTCGCAATAACTTTTCGATTTTTTTGCAGATGTGGAAGCCAGATCAATTCACTTCTATTCAATTCAGTTCAATAAACTTTATTTGTCCCCAGGGAGCAATTTAAATGAATGACTGAATGATTAATCAATGAAAAACAGTAATTTAGTTTGGAGTGGATAGTCTTCTTTTTGAATACATTAAGACTGAATGCTAACAGAAGCTAAACCATAAGTCTGGTAGAACGTCAGGTCTCTGTCAGTACAACAGATCTGGGCCTTTGGTGTAATCATGACTTGTAGGGTGTTGAAGTATCTGGAGGCCGACCCGTTTCTTCTGTCATCGTTGTTCTGGTTGGGAAAAAAACAAATGATTTCCTGATTAATAGATTACATTCTCAGATGTTAAATATTTCAACATTGTTTTTCCTGCACTGCTGTTACATGGAAACCTACCCATATCTTACCAGTATGACTAAGTAGAAAAAGTGTTTAGTATTCACTCACTGCATTGGTAAAGCTTGTTGACACGGGCAATGTCATTAGCGCTCATGGTTGTAGCTTGTCCAAAGGAAAGGTTGGGATTGCCCTTGGCGACGATGGTTGGCTGCCCATTTTTGGAGAAGGCGAATCTTGAGGAGGAAACAAACACAACATTGTTGGTACATTGAGTTACACACAGAAACAGTAGCAAACACTGGGTCTTTATTAAACCTTTCTTTAAGTTAACCCTGACTCTTTAAGTTTCACTTGAATTTGTACTGTTGACTTTGTTAGTTTTTCTTTTTAATGTAATATAAAGACTTATAGTAGAACAACATGATAACTATTATCAATTTTGAGACTTTTGCTACATAGCAAGTCTTGTATGCATAACACATTTTTATTATTGCTTTGAGAAACAAAACAACAACCTCCCCTTAATGAATGTAAAAAATTGTCTCAGGTTATTTAATATTGTACAAATTTGATATATATTATATAAATATTGTAAACATTTATAAACACAGATGCATGCACTGACTCACTCACTTGCTGTAATGCATGACAGACTCAAAGTCATAGGGAGTGTTCAAGTTGTTAGTCTGCACCTTCTGGAAGTTTGATTCCTTTCCTTCAGGGATGGAGAGAACATTTGAAATATTTCAGCATGGCTTTTATCTCTTTACCTGTTTGGTCCTTCAGTTAGCAGTCAGCCTACTTTTCCATCATGAATTCAAAACTCAAAATCACAACAATCATCAAAACAAACCATTGCTTAATAATCCCTCAGATTATTAGCATTATCACCAGGCATAAGCATGTTAGCATGCTAACATAGCATTTATCTCAAAGCCCTGATGTGCCTACGTCTCACAGAGCTGCTAACATGGCTGTAGACTGTTACTCTGTTTTTGCTCTAATTTGCCTATAAATCTTTGCACCTTTTACGATACAGCTGAGTTGCAAAGAAGATTAGAATAAAGGTATAGACCTACATACTGTTTGCTGCTGAGTTCATTGACTAGGACTCTGTCTCTCGAGGAAATCCTCTAGTGTTCTCATCATTGCATTGCAGATAAAAGCAGAACTTTGGAATAAAAGTTTTGTGGCTGAGCTGACCTTCCTGAATGTTCTCGAAGTGGATTCTGACGTGTTGGTCCCTGTCAGAGCGGACGTGCTCGTGGTGGAAACCGAGAGCATGGAGGACCTCATGCTGCACCGTGTCTGTGTACAAACAACCGTTTTTCTGCAGGGAGATTTTCTGTTCTCCCCCCACACGGCCCAGGTACGACCAGCACCTGACACAAACACAAACACAAAGTGAAATCATAGTAAAAAGAAAAAAGGTATTGTTGACACGTTCCTGGTCTCCTGTGTTGTTGTTGCAAATGAATGATCTTCCTCTCTCTCTCTCTCTCTCTCCCTCCCTCTCCTTGTTTCCTGTCTGCCTCTACTGTCAATAAAGGCTAAAATACCAAAAAAAAATACTGGCTTAATAAATGATGATAATTGTCTCACATGCAGATATTACTAGCAGAGTGCATCATTTGTCTATTCCTTCCTAAACTGAACTAAAATAAAACCTGTTTCTGCTCTGACCCTGCTGTGGTTAAGATTTCACAGGGGTACAAAGTAGATGTACTTAAGTATTGTACTAAGTAAGGTACTTGCACTTTTATATATAATAATAATTGTACAGCAATTTTATGTTACTTTATATTTCTACTACATTTCAGAGAGAAATATGCAGAGTACTTTACTACTTATGCACTTCACTTAAGTAAGATTTTGAAAGCAGGACTTTAAATTGTAATGGTTTTTACATTGTTGTTCTGGTACTTTTACTTCAGTAGCGCCTCTGAGAGCTTATTTCACTGCTGCCAGAATGAAACATGATGATCCAGCATAGATCAAAGCGTGTGTGTGTGTGTGTGTGTGTGTGTGTGTTCCTACCCGGATCCAGGGAAGAAGTTGATAAAATCCTTATGCGACGGCTTCTTCCACCTAAAGCGAATGCAGGTGGATTTGTGGAAGGAAAACAGGACTCTATTGATGAAGTTGCGCTCTACTGTGGCTGGAGAGATAAAAACAGGCTGCTGGGGAGTGTTCTCACTAAAGAGGCTACACCCTCCGTCAAAGATAGTACAATAACTTTCATTTACAGCTTGTCAAATCATTTTTATTCACCTCAACACCTCTCCTTTTATTTCAGGCAGTAAACAGATTGTAAACTATGAATCATTCCCTCATCCTCAGTTTGAACAGTGTTGTTATCATCTTCACTTGAGTTTAATATCAGCTTGAACTTTACAGTAATACAAAACCTTTTTGAATCTATCAAACATCATTTATGGGACATAATATTAGAAATCTTTGGTCGGAGGCTTTGGCTCTGACCCTGGCTTTGGCAGCCATAAACAACATACAGTACATGCTTAGAGCAGTGGTGGATCCTTTCTTAAATGAAAGTATTAATACAATATTGTGAATACTTAGGGCCAGCAGATGAATCCAAGGGGTCATGAGATGATTAATGGGGGAGGAAAGAAAAAAAAACTAAGTTCTACTACATAAATTAGCATTTAAAAAAATTAATTAATTATTAAAGCTGCAAGCAAGGGCCCTCGCTCATGGGCAGCGCCACGAGGCAGGTTGGCACAGCCATCGGACACTGTGCTTTCCAGAAAGATGTAATTTCCTGCATGAGCCATGTGGCCGCAGACATGATGTATTGCATATTTGGACAATCTGTGCTTTGGTAAGTTATAACGAGTTAATTGTCGCCACGGGCAGGCTGTTCAACAAAAACTCAAAAGCTTTGCGATTTAGCGTCACAAATGTCTTAAGATTAAACTGACCAAATATGATGTCGATCTGATTAATTTTCTCGGACGAGTTTGTTAAATTCCAATTCCTGTAAATGTGAAAAACAGCACCAAACCTGTGGAGTGAATTCAAGATATCTGCAAGTCTCTTAAGTTTTTGGGCAAGTTTAGGCCCTCAAAAACGGGATGAATTTTAATGAACCAGGAAAATACAAACAAATGAAATACAATAGGGCCCTCGCATCCTCGGAGCTCGAACCCTAATAAAAACATTGAGCACTGGCTCAGGCATGTTTGATAATGGAGAGTGTTTCACAAGATGATCATTTGTTTTTTAATGTTAGATCTTGTAGCTGACAGATAAATGAAATGTAGTAGGGTAGAGTAGTAACACAATATGGCTTTGTTCAATACAAGTACAAACAACTATCGAATAATAATCTCTTTTTCACTATATTGGAATCTTTGGAATCAAACAAAGCGGATGTTGACTAGATGATTGGTAGAGAGGGGGGTTACTTACTGTAACGAGAGGATATAATGACAGGAATTCTGACATGGTCTCCAACTTTAGGCCACTTGCAGCCTCTGGCTGTGCAGGGGACTGCGTTCCTCTTTGAATTTGGCACAATGTCGCCGTGGATCAGGCGCATTGCTGCAGAACAACATACAAACATGCACTTATGAATATTAAAACCACAAACATAGAGTTTAACATATGACAACCAAGAAGCTAAAAAAAATTCCATTATTGATTAATCTATCCATTATTCTTATTATCATTTGATTAATCTTTTAGTCTGTAAAAATGTAAGACAATGGTAAAAAAGGTCCTTGTGAAGTTCCCAGGGCTAAACATGATTATCTTCAAGTTACTTGTTTTACCCCAAACTGTCCAAAACTTAAAGATGTTCAACTTATACAGACATATATGGAAGAAATCTCAAATCCTCAAATTTGACAAACTGAAACCAGCCAGTTTTTTCCTTGATAAACCAACTATTCAATTAATTCTTTCAACTGCAATCGACTGCATCTTTCACCAGTTTCATTTGGCCATTATATATTTCTATTTTAGCCAAAAGAGTTGGATCATATAAAACTTGTGCCTTACTTTTGCCCTCATTGGCTCTTGCAATGACTTCAGAGACATCCAAAGATATGTCTGGAGGCAGAGAAAACAGAGGAAATCAGAAACAAGGAGCAGCACTGTAACGTGTGAATTATCCACATTTTGGATCTTGATATCTGAGAAATTCCCCATTATTCCACTCACCTGTTTGATCTCCATCATCAGTCGCACCCTGCAACACAAAGGCACAAAATTGTACAATTTTAAATCACGTTTTCTACTCTCTACTGTTGCATTCAATAACATTCTGTTGCTGTCCAGTAAATGTCTCATTTAAAATGATTTTTAATTTTCATATAAGTTAAAGGACTACATGCTCTTTTATATAACAAGGATGTTTTTTCTCTCAGTTGATACTGTGAAGATTCCTGGTTTGCACACGACAGCAGAGAATGTTTAACATCATAATCCCAGTGTAGAAAGAGTCAAACTCACTGGAGGAATGGATGTCAATGAGAAGAAGAGGAGTACGAGGAAAATGGGAGTCATGACGATGGTCTTCTCCAGTTAAACTTCAAATCTGAAAATACAGGAAAATCTTTGTTTAGCCATTGAGGAATATATTCAGAGCAAAATCAGTGAGGTAAGAATAGAAATAATAAGGAGGAGATCAGTTCAGTTTACCTGTTTTACCAGGAATCTGGTGCTGGATACAGCAGGTGTTCAGCACTTCAGTTTTTATATGCAGCACTCACTGGGTGGGGCTGATAACTCAGGCATTAGTCACTTTATTTCAAGCTGCTTGATTAAAAAGATGATGGCTATTATGGTCTTCACAAAATTGCAATTTACACTTTGTGTCATTAGAGTGTTTCAGATTTCATAATAGGTGTGTATTGCATAGACTGTTGAGTTACAGTGGATGCTGGATAGATGGATCACACACACTTTGCCATCCCTGAAAAATCCAACTATTTCCAACCTCCATTGACACAAACTTGTCCTCTACCACCCAGTGTTGGTGTTTTAGCAGCCGTATAAGTCCTAGATGTTCATGGGTTTAACATCACAGCTTGACAGAAGTAAATCAGGGATTAAAGTTAGTCTGTAAAGACAGCAGGACAAAGACGACTGAGCGCTGTAGGTTTTAGATGGCAGAGATTACAATGAGAGTTGAAAAATTTACTTTAGAATGGCTTCTTTTGTTTTTTGTTTTTTGTTTTTTGTTTTTTGTTTGTTGGACCATAAACTATGAGGAAGTAAAGCCAATGACAGCAAAACAGCAAAGGTTAAAAGTCACTGGCTTAAAGCCAGCCCTAACTCAACAACCAAAACTTCACCTGACTTGTTTACCAGGAAATATGTTGTTATATCTTATAATTTCATCACACAGAAGAGCCAGTACATTCAGATCCATTTACGTGACAGAGGGTTCAGGAGTGTAAATCATTACATAACACTCATCTCTGATGTAAGCTTTGTTTTTCATCAACACAAAGTCTCTCAGTCTTTTCTATTATTGGATGCTTTAGTTCATTGATGAAGTAGACTGACATTTAAACTAACATTTAAACTGGACTTCCATTATGGACAAAACACTCAGGAATGTGGTTGGCTGCATGTTATAGTTGGGTGCACATACATGACATGTTTCGATACTCTCTGTGCTTCGATGTTCAGACAAGGCTAGGTTACAGCCGAAGCTAAACACCATCAATACTATCTTATCGTATACATCTTTTTTCTTGAAAGCTTTGTTTTATGGATCCATTAGTTTAACTTTTGACATGAAAATTTCAGATTTTATTGTGTTCTTGTATAGATGACAATGTCATATGGTACCAATTAAAGGGAGAAGAGAAAAGTGAAAGACTGGTACAGTTCCGAACGTAATCTGAGATATTTACTGAACAGAACCACAACATTGTGAATAACTGGTAAAACTGTAACAGAAAATGTCTTTATATTCATTCCCAGCTGGAAAGAGATTATCCAAACCACACAGGCCTATTCATTCTGGAATCAAAGAAATTACCACCAATGGGTGTCAGTGGAAATGCCAGAGACAGATAACTTGCAATTTAGCAGATTAAAGTTATAAAATGTAAGTGAGAAAATATATTTAGCAGCTAAAACTGGAATGAAATTACACCTCAGTTCCATATGTATTCCACCTCCTTTCTCAGAAATGACTTGCCTTCCTCCTGAAACGTCTATTAAGATTTATTTGTTGGAAAGTCACTCAAACAACCACAAAGAATAATAAAAAAAACAACTGCAAAGACATGTAAAATGATAAAGATGCAAAATTACCACAATGTGATTCAGAACAATTACAAAGAGACACAGAATGACCACAAACAGACAGACAACCAAAAGGAAATTAAATAAATGGAGAATGTGATTTTTGAATAACCTGTGGTGGGAATACTGGCTTCTGAAAAAGCTGACACCTAAGATACATAACAAAGATAACACATGCAACACACCTATGCAACTTGTATGAAATGTGACAGTAATATTGAACCTTACACGGACTTACCTATCTGTATTCTTTGGGAAAGAAAAGACAGACGTTTTTCCTGTTATTACAGCCTATTGCTGCACAAAGCTTGGGGACTATATTTTAACACTAACGGATTTATCTATTGTTTATGTAAGAGGATTAGGGCCACATGATAATAATTTATCAGGGCCAAAAACATCAGAAGTTCCTAGGATAGACTACGGAGCCAAGTTATACCACCCAACACACAGGAGTCAACACCGGCACAGTATCTCTTATTTCTATTGGAAGGACAAAACTTCCTTTTAATAAAAGCTTAAGAAGAAAATTAGAGAAATAAAATTTATATAAACACAATTAGCATTATCTTGCTTATCTAATTGAAAACAAAGTAACAAAATTGTTCACAATAATCTATAGACTTACAAATTCAATTGGACCCAAATTTCCTTCAGTCACTTATGTCACTGATGAGAACTTAGTCTCAATCCCCACACACACATCCAGAACTGATTTACCACTGTGGGAATGGCAATTGTGTGTTGATTGTATGTGTGTGTGGACAAAATCCTCAAAGTCCAGGTCTCCAATCTTCTGCATGCAATTGTATTTCTAAATCTGCTCTGTTGGGCTGTAGCTCACGATCAAACATCCAAAGGTATCCAGTGTCCAAAAGAAACCTGACCTATAGTAGGTAAGGTCAGAACTCACATTCAAACCTCTGATGTGGAGTAATAGACCATAAAAGCTAGAATATATCTTGTCAAGGACACTTACTGTACTCTATATTGCTAAACAATAACAATTCAAACTAATAAGACATTGCAATGGCCCTTTAACAACAAGAATACAGTTTGTTTCAAGATATCAGCGCACTAAGGTTACTGAATAAACTTAGGTTACTTATATCAATGTTGGGACTCATCATTCAAGAGACCAGATGTTTCTTTGCTCCAGTGGACAAAGGAACTCACACCCCACAGTTGCTCACTGTTCACACCTGGGGACGACCCTTCCCCCCACAGACCTAACTGGCCAGTCAGTGTGGGTCAGCGTGTGACATGTGATCCCCAAGGGTGTCACCAAACAAAACCAGTCCTCTGGCCCTCTTCTTCCTCTCTCCTCTTCTTGGCTTGCTCTGGAGAGCAGCTCCAGCTCTCTCCTCTCAGCTCCTCAAAGGGCAACAAGGCCCCAGCGCAGGTCAGCCTTGCTACCTGAGAAACCAGCTCTCTTGCCCAGCCTACTCACAGCAGCCTGCAAATGCTCTTTTCCTCAACAGCAGCGACCTGCTTCGGATGACTTCAGAGTGAACCAAGTTCTCTTCAGAATCAGCAGCTACGACACAAGGCCAGCTGATTTTCCAAGCAACAGGAGTCATAGCAGAGTTAGCGTGGAACAGCTAACTCTGTGAGGAGAACAAAGGAGATAACAGCAAAGCAACACAGCCAGACAGGACTTTACTCCACCAGGAAGCCTCCCAACTCACTGGACTTTACAACAACACTGGAAAGGACCTCTTGTTTGTTCCAAGGACTGGGTAACGTTAACTGACTGGGCCTAACCTCTCCCAGCACAGCATAGCACAGCACAGCATAGCTAAGCAGCAGAAGTCTTAACTTTGTTAATGTACTTGTTGATTGATGTCTTGTTGTTGTAATGTTTGCTCAGGTTGTGGTCAGTCATACAGTTAATCAGGTACTCGTATGTTCACACACATATTAGTACGTCTCAGTTCTAGAACCTGCATGAAGCTAACCTCCTCCCTCTAACCTGGTACCTTTAGATTACATGAGCTAGGCTAACAAAGAAACTCACACCTTCCCTCCCACACACACCAGGTGGTCTCAGTGGCCATTTTGAGTAGTTTCTTTGTTTACTGCCATCTTGTGTAGTCTTCTTTGTTCAGGTCATGTGGTCACAGTGACCACTTTGAATTGGCCAGCTTGCCTTTGTTTGTGTCCCCACAGACACACACACATACACCTACACACACACATACACACACCTGTATATACTAGATAAGACATTGTGTTTTACTCTGCTCCATTGTAAATAAATGCCTTTAAGTATAACTACTGGTGTGTTTAATGTTGAACAAGCGTGAATGTTGCCAACCTCTACTTTGTAGAATTCCAATCCTTCAACTTTAACTTACTGTTGATTTGGTCATTTGGTTATAGTTAGTAAGCTTTGTTAATCAGAGTTCCAGATTAATGGTAATGAATTGAGAGGTGAAGGGCCAGACGAAGAACGGTTCAGAAGATCCCAATGAGCAGAACGATTAAGAATCTGTGTACCCGGCCCAGAGGGATACCGGGGCCCCACCCTGGAGCCAGGCCTGGGGTTGGGGCCCGTGGGCGAGCGCCTGGTGGCCGGGCCTTAGCCCATGGGGCCCGGCCGGGCCCAGCCCGAACTGGCTACATGGGTTCGTCTCCCAGTGGGCCCACCACCTGCAGGAAGAGTCAGCGGGGTCCGGTGCAATGTGGATTGGGCAGCAGACCAAGGCGGGGGCCTTGGCGGTCCGATCCTCGGTTACGGAAACTGGTTTTTGGAACATGGAACGTCACCTCTCTGGCAGAGAAGGAGCTTGTGGAAGAGGTTGAACGGTACCGGCTAGATATAGTCGGCCTCACCTCGACACATAGCGTCGGCTCCGGAACCCAAGTCCTTGAGAGGGGCTGGTCTTTCCTCTTTGCTGGAGTTGCTCCGGGGGAGAGGCGGAGGGCCGGGGTGGGCTTTTTGGTGGCCCCCAGGCTCTCTGCCTGTATGTTGGGGTTCACCCCGGTGGATGAAAGGGTTGCGTCCCTGCGCCTCCGGGTCGGGGATCAGGTTCTGACTGTTGTCGGTGCCTATTCACCGAGCAGCAGTTCAGACTACCCGCTCTTCTTGGAGTCCTTGGGACGGGTGCTGGAAAGTGCCCCAAAAGGGGACTCCATTGTCCTATTGGGAGACTTCAACGTTCACGATCTGAACCCGAGCGGCGTTCAGTTATTGGACTTCTGTGCTAGTCACAGTTTGGCCATAACTAACACCATTTTCAAACATAAGGACGTCCATAGGTGCACATGGCACCAGGACATCCTAGGTCGCCGGTCTATGATTGACTTAGTAGTCGTATCATCAGACCTGCGGCCGTATGTTTTGGACACTCGGGTGAAGAGAGGAGCAGAGTTGTCAACTGACCACCACCTGGTGGTCAGTTGGATCAGATGGCAGGGGAAGACGCCGCGCAGACCTGGCAGGCCCAAATGGGATGTGAGGGTCTGCTGGGAAAGCCTGGCGGAAGAACCCGTCAAGATGATTTTCAACGCACGCCTCCGGCAGAGTTTCGATCGCGTCCCGAGGGCGGTGGGGGACATTGAGTCCGAATGGGCCTTGTTCCGCTTTGCCATTGTTGAGGCGGCTGTTGCAAGCTGCGGCTGCATCGTAGCTGGGGCGGTAACCCCCGTACCCGCTGGTGGACACCAGAGGTGGGGGAAGCCGTCAGGCTGAAGAAGAAGGCCTACAGGGTGTGGTTGGCCTGTGGGTCTCTGGAATCAGCTGACTGGTACCGGCGGGCCAAGCGGAGCGCAGCCGCGGCAGTTGCTGAGGCAAAAACTCGGGCGTGGGAGGAGTTCGGTGAGACTATGGAGGAAGACTATCGATCGGCTCCAAAAAGGTTATGGCAAACCGTCCGGCGCCTCAGGAGAGGAAGGCGGCAACTTGCTCAGACTGTTTACAGTGGGGGCGGGGAGCTGCTGATGTCAACTGAGGTTATAGTCGGAGGGTGGAAGGGATACTTTGAGGAGCTCCTCAATCCCACCAACACGTATTCCGTGGAGGAAACAGAGCCAAGAGACCTGGGGATGGATGGTCTAATCTCCGGGGCAGAAGTCGCCGAGGTAGTAAAACAACTGCGCGGTGGCGGAGCCCCAGGGGTTGATGAGATCCACCCTGGGGATCTCAAGGCTCTGGATGTTGTAGCACTGTCTTGGTTGACACACCTCTGCAACATTGCGTGGACGTCGGGGGCAGTGCCTCTGGAGTGGCAAACCGGGGTGTCTCCCCGGTAAGGTCAATGCCAGGGTACTGGAAAAGAGGGTCCAGTTGGTAGTTGAACCTCAGATCGAGGAGGAGCAATGTGGTTTTCGTCTTGGATGTGGAACTGTGGACCAGCTCTTTACCCTCTCTAGGGTGCTGGAGGGAGCATGGGAGTTTGCCAATCCAGTCCACATGTGTTTTGTGGATTTGGAGAAGGCTTACGACCATGTCCCCAGGGGCTCCCTGTGGGGGGTGCTCCGGGAGTATGGGGTGGATGGCCCCTTGTTAGCGGCCATTAAGTCCCTGTACCAAAGAAGTGTGAGTCTGGTTCGCGTTGCCGGCAGTAAGTCGGACCTGTTCCCAGTGAGGGTTGGACTCCGCCAGGGCTGCCCTTTGTCACCGGTTCTGTTCATAACCTTTATGGACAGAATTTCTTGGTGCAGCCGGGTGGTGGAGGGGTTTGGGATCGGTGGCGGGAGGATCTTGTCTCTGCTTTTTGCGGATGATGTGGTCCTCCTAGCTTCATCGAGCACCGACCTTCAGCTCTCGCTTGGGCGGTTCGCAGCTGAGTGTGAAGCGGCTGGGATGAAGATCAGCACCTCCAAGTCTGAGGCCATGGTTCTCAGCCGGAAACAGGTGGATTGCCCGCTCCAGGTCAGGGGGGAGGTCCTGCCTCAGCTGGAGGAGTTTAAGTATCTCGGGATCCTGTTCACGACTGAGGGTAGGATGGAATGGGAAATCGACAGGCGGATTGGGGCGGCGTCAGCAGTGATGCGGGTGCTGAAGCGGTCCGTTGTGGGGAAGAGGGAGCTAAGCTGGAAGGCGAAGCTCTCGATTTACCAGTCGATCTACGTTCCAACCCTCACCTATGCTCATGAGCTTTGGGTAATGACCGAAAGAACAAGATTGCGAATACAAGCGGCCGAAATGAGTTTCCTCCGCGGGGTGGCCGGGCTCAGCCTTAGAGATAGGGTGAGGAGCTCGGTCATCCGGGAGGGACTCGCTAGTAGAACCGCTGCTCCTCCATGTCGAGAGGAGCCAATTGAGGTGGTCCGGGCATCTGGTGAGGATGCCTCCCGGACGCCTCCCTGGGGAGGTGTTTCGGGCATGTCCCACCGGGAGGAGGCCTCGGGGCCGACCAAGGACACGCTGGAGGGATTATATCTCTCGGCTGGCCTTGGAACGCCTCAGGATTCTCCCGGAGGAGCTGGTGGAAGTGGCTGGGGAGAGGGCTGTCTGGACCTCTTTGCTGAGGCTGCTCCCCCCGCGACCTGGATCCGGAGGAGCGGGAGACAACGACGACGACGACGAATTGAGACTAAAACCATATTGGCTATTTTGCCTATTAGTTTAGGCTGGTTCCCCAAGGACTTTAATTAATTTTAAAGTTATTATTTACTATTAATATTTTTAATATTAATATTTTCTCAATTTATGATAGCCAATAAATTGATAGACAACCGAAATCCAACATATTTCGTGTCCAGCTCATGAGGTAGAGCTCAGACCCAACATCAATTAACATAAAACAGCTACATCAACACTGAATTTATATGTGCTTTGCAACCCACTGCCATATAATGGTGTTATATGCACAAATCATTATTAATAGTGGTGCGTGCCACACGCCAGATAATGGCAGCTTATGGTCGCATTAACAAAACATTTGAACAACAAAATTATCTTTTACAATGCTTAAAATGACACAAATAAACATTTAGTGCTTAACAGATTTGCAAGGTTTCAATACATCAGCTACAGTTTTACAGAGCATTACATAATGGTTCATTCCCAGTCCGAGATATAGCGAACACTAAGGATAAGTCAATGGCATTTCACAATAGCTGTGTCCCAATTCAGGAGCATTTGATGACCGATATTTCGAAGGCTCCTTCAAATACAGCTGAGAAGTGCGTCCTCCTTTTCCTGGGCAATGAAGGATCCTTCGTGGCCCAACCTATCCCAAGATTCATTCTGCGCTGGTAGTGAAAACAACAAACCCTGACAGAGAGCCTGAGCATTATACTTTTAAATGTAAGTATTTTGTGACCCTGGTGATAAGTGAAGCACAGTCATAGGACAAAAAACCTATGGTTAAACCTGAAGTTACCTTGCTAACTTCAAATCCTGCTTAGTAGTACAGGTACAGGTACAGCATAAAACATGGGCTATTTCATGCATTGTCCACGTCAAGCATACAGCTCCAAGAAACGTGCTTAGATTTTATTTTCTAAGACTTAAATTGTCAGAATTCTGAATTTAAACATGTGGTCTTAATCCTCTTCCGTGTGAAGCTGTATATCCATCTAAAACAAATTGATATGATGTGAATTACTTGCAATGAAAAGCTGAGGAGAACCCATGATCCAAACTGTACCATACATCTCTGTTAAGATGATGGTGAGGTGCTGCCTCCTTCAGGTGGAAGTAAAGAATCACACATTTATTTTTTGTTGATTTTATTGAAGGAATATCTCAGTTAACAGTAGAAATGAAAACAACAGCTTTGATTATAAACCACAAATGGCTAAATGTCTGTATTTAAAAAAATAAAAAATAAATAGAAAAAACACAATTGGCATTTAATCAAGTCACTACTGCATATATGAAAAAAAGCTTTCACAATGCAGGATGATCCATCACAGAGGATGTTTAGTTGTTTAACTTGTTCAAACTCTCTGTATTTCTCTGTTGGTTCTGTTTATTTCAGGGCTGCATCTGTCAAAAACTTCATCAACAATCATCAAAATATATCATTGAATCTCGGCTTTGTGTCAATACACTTGGCAGAACCATCACCAAATTATACCCATTGTATTTGAAAACCAATAAAAGATTTAAATCAAATCACAAATGGTTAAAAAAAAAGACTGGAGGCCGACCCGTTTCTTCTGTCATCGTTGTTCTGGTTGGGAAAAAAACAAATGATTTCCTGATTAATAGATTACATTCTCAGATGTTAAATATTTCAACATTATTTTTCCTGCACTGCTGTTACATGGAAACCTACCCATATCTTACCAGTATGACTAAGTAGAAAAAGTGTTTAGTATTCACTCACAGCATTGGTAAAGCCTGTTGACACGGGCAATGTCATTAGCGCTCATGGTTGTAGCTTGTCCAAAGGAAAGGTTGGGATTGCTCTTGGCGACGATGGTTGGCTGCCCATTTTTGGAGAAGGCAAACCTTGAGGAGGAAACAAACACAACATTGTTGGAACATTGAGTTACACACAGAACCAGTAGCAAACACTGGGTCTTTATTAAACCTTTCTTTAAGTTAACCCTGACTCTTTAAGTTTCACTTGAATTTGTACTGTTGACTTTGTTAGTTTTTCTTTTTAATGTAATATAAAGACTTATAGTAGAACAACATGATAACTATTATCAATTTTGAGACTTTTGCTACATAGCAAGTCTTGTATGCATAACACATTTTTATTATTGCTTTGAGAAACAAAACAACAACCTCCCCTTAATGAATGTAAAAAATTGTCTCAGGTTATTTAATATTGTACAAATTTGATATATATTATATAAATATTGTAAACATTTATAAACACAGATGCATGCACTGACTCACTCACTTGCTGTAATGCATGACAGACTCAAAGTCATAGGGAGTGTTCAAGTTGTTAGTCTGCACCTTCTGGAAGTTTGATTCCACTCCTTCAGGGATGAGAGAACATTTGAAATATTTCAGCATGGCTTTTATCTCTTTACCTGTTGGGTCCTTCAGTTAGCAGTCAGCCTACTTTTCCATCATGAATTCAAAACTCAAAATCACAACAATCGTCAAAACAAACCATTGCTTAATAATCCCTCAGATTATTAGCATTATCACCAGGCATAAGCATGTTAGCATGCTAACATAGCATTTATCTCAAAGCCCTGATGTGCCTACGTCTCACAGAGCTGCTAACATGGCTGTAGACTGTTACTCTGTTTTTGCTCTAATTTGCCTATAAATCTTTGCACCTTTTACGATACAGCTGAGTTGCAAAGAAGATTAGAATAAAGGTATAGACCTACATACTGTTTGCTGCTGAGTTCATTGACTAGGACTCTGTGTCTCTAGGAAATCCTCTAGTGTTCTCATCATTGCATTGCAGATAAAAGCAGAACTTTGGAATAAAAGTTTTGTGGCTGAGCTGACCTTCCTGAATGTTCTCGAAGTGGATAGTGACGTGTTGGTCCCTGTCAGAGCGGACGTGCTCGTGGTGGAAACCGAGAGCGTGGAGGACCTCATGCTGCACCGTGTCTGTGTGCAAACAACCGTTTCTCCTCAGAGAGATGCGCTGTTCGCCCCCCACACGGCCCAGGTACGACCAGCACCTGACACACACACACACACACACACACACACACACAAAGTGAAATCATATTAAAAAGAAAAATGGTATTGTTGACACGTTCCTGGTCTCCTGTGTTGTTTGACAAAATGAAGTCATTGGGCAAATGGATGACACCCCGCCCCCCACCACTACCACCACTGCCAGTATTAAACATAGGCCCTGTTCAGACCTGGCAAGACTTATCAGACTGTGGCTGAGGACGTCAGTTGAGTAGGTGGTCCTTCAATGTGGCCCAGACCACCTACGAATATGGTCTGAGTGATCGGATCTCAAATGTGTCCTCAATGCGTTTTAGGTGAGTTCACACCTGAACTTAGAGCTGACCACTTGTGATTGGATGACCTGAGACAGATGTTAATACCAGGTCTAAACAGGGCCATTATGACCCAGCACTGATCAAAACAAGTGTGGTAATGTGTCGGCCCTGTCTTTTCATGCTACCATAGTGTGTGTGTGTGTGTGTGTGTGTGTGTGTGTGTGTGTGTGTGTGTATTCATATTCATACCCAGATCCAGAGAAGAAATGGAGATAATTTTGATGCCTCCACTTCCTTCTTACAAAGCGAATGCAGGTGGATTTGTGAAAGGTCAACAGGACTTGAATGATGAATCTGCGCTCTTGTCTGGCTGCAGAGACAAAGCACAGGCTGCTGGGAAGTGTTCTCCTTAAAGAGGCTACACCCTCCATCTAACATAGTACAGTAACTTACATTTACAGTTTTTCAAATGATTTTTATTCACTTCGAAACCTCTCCTTTTATCTCAGGTACTAAACACAGATTATAAATTATAAATCATTCCCTCATCCTTTGTTTGAACAGTGTTGTTCCTCTTCATTTCATTATGATCACAATGGATTTATCACAGTTTGAGTTTCACAGAATCCAAATAGGGGGAGAGGTATATATTAATGGTGGTGAAGACAACAACTCCCATGATCCCACGCTACTTCACCATGGCACCTAACTCTTTTGTTATTGTTTTGATTGAGAGACCCCTAGTGGCAGAAGTTACAAACTGCATTTAAATCTTAATCTTAATAGCGGAAGATAAATGAAATGTAGTGGAGTAGAAGTAGTAACATGACATGGAGTCATTCAAATAGTAGAGCAAGAAACTATAGAATAATAAAATCTTTTTTCACTATGCTGATGTTGTCTAGATGACAGTTTTTTGGGAGGTCAATCTAATACTTACTGTACATGGAAGAGATACTGACAGGAATTCTGACAAAGTCGCCATCTTTAGGCCACTTGCAGCCTCTGGCTGTGCAGGGGACTGCGTTCCTCTTTGAATTTGGCACAATGTCGCCGTGGATCAGGGGCGTTTCTGTAGAATAAACAAACAAACAAGCAGACACTCATATTAAAACCAGGAATATATTCACATATTTTGACAGACATTCCCCTTTTTATATGAAAACAAACAAGCTAATGATTTTTTTTCATTATTGATTAATCTGTGCATTATTATTATGATCATTTGATTAGTCATTTAGTCAAGTAAAAAAAAAATTTAAGACAATAGTAAAAAAGGTCATTTTGAAGTTCCCATAGCTAAACGTGATATCTTCAAATTCCTTGTTTTGACTGACAAACAGCCCAAAATTCAAAGATCTTCAACTTCCAACTTCTGAAACCAGCACATTTTTTCCTTAATAAAACAACTCAATTAATTCTTTCAACTCTGCCATCAGATATTTCTCTTTTAGCCAGAGGAGTTGGATCATATAAAACTTGTGCCTTACTTATGCCCTCATTGGCTCTTGCAATGATTTCAGAGACGTCCAAAGATGCGTCTGGAGACAGAGAAAACAGAGGAAATCAGAAACAAGGAGCAGCACTGTAACATGTGAATTATCCACATTTTGGATCTTGATATCTGAGAAATTCCCCATTATTCCACTCACCTGTTTGATCTCCATCATCAGTCGCACCCTGCAACACAAAGGCACAAAATTTTAAAATTTTAAATCATGTTGCAAATGTAGTTCAGCAACTTCTGTTGCTCTCCAGTGAAAATCTGATATTTCATTTTTATAAGTTAAATGATTACATGCTCTTTGATGGGTTTCAACAATTTTCCTTCAACTTAAAGGCTCATAAAATCCTTTAAAAACTAACATCATTATCTCAAAAAAAGCATCATCACATGACTCACTGGAGGAATGGATGTCAATGAGAAGAAGAGGAGTACAAGGAAAACAGGAGTCATGGTGATGGTCTTAAGAAGAATAAGGAGATCACTTGAGTGTACCAGGAGTCCAGTGCTGGATGCAGCAGGTGTTCAGCTCCTCAATTTTATAGGCAGCACTCACAGGGTGGGCTGATAGCTCAGGTATTAGTCACTTTGATTATTTCATACTGCTCACATCAAAAAAATTAAATTGGTATTGATAGCTATTACAGTCGTCACAAAATTGCAGTTTACACATTTGTAATTTTTAGACTGAGTGTCAGATTTTATAATGCCTGTTTATCCATCCCTGAAAATTATCTCCAAAAACATTGATCAACCTCTTTTAAATCCAACAATTTCCAACCTTCATTGACAATTTCTATATGAAAATGTAGATACATTTGTCCTCTACCACTCAGTTTTGGTCTCATTGTGATATCTTTTACAGTTTTTCAAGAAAAACTCCCATAGACACTCATGTTAAACTGAGCTCTGAAGTACTCAGAGTTGAGGGGAGTTTTGACACTGTGATTGCACCTCGACTGTAAACAGCACGTACAGAGAAATTTAATCTTAAAAGGATTGTGTGCGTATTTCCCTACTCCCAGCACCAGCTGCATGTCTTGTGCATCGCTGCTACTGCAGCTCTGTCTCTCTACATAGAGTTTGCAGGTTTGATGTCTCTTCATTATAAGTTCAGATTTATTTTTGATGAAAATGTCAATATGTCTCCACATGCAGCTGCCCACCGAAACAATCCAGTATCTGATCAAATGTATGCTTCGTTTAGAGTACTTTCAGCGCTTTATCTTCTCACCAAAACAGAAATCCTTTGGCACTACATTTTCTCAACCGATGAACTACTGTATTCCTACGCACAAGCACACCTACAGCGAAATTACTGAAAATTCCTTCTTCATGAATTATTTAGTGTTGGATTATTATTACTCATTCTAGTTGGTTACAAGTTAGCTGAGGGAAAGCAAAATTTAACTCCTTTGTTATTGTTGGGCAAAATAATCGATATATTCTATAAGCTCATTATGTTTCATGTGTAAATTCCCTCTGAGCTGTAGCGGAGTTGAAAAACAAACTAATGATTAACAATGAGTTCTCGGGCCTGCTGGGAGGAATGTGTCAAAAAAAAGAAAAAAAAAAGAAACAATCATGAAATATGTGGCAACAATGAAATTCACATTTACACACAAAGTTTAATGTACAATTTCTGTAAATTTTTACCAAACATGTCTCTAGATTGCAAAGCTCTGCTCAGGGATGAGGCAATTGTTACATAAAGGTCTGAGCAAATACAACAGCACAACATCCGTCATCAGTCGACACGCTGTAAGTTGATTGTCTGTGGGCAGAAGAATGCGTGTGAATGGATGAGTTGTCAAATGGCTTGTTGTTCACTTTGACACGAAGGTGTTTGTTCTAGAAACCAGGAAACACTTCCTATTTTTAAAAGCTTCATGTAAAAAGGCACAAAATCAAAGAGACATATGAGGGATTTAACTTACAGTGGAAGGTGACTGACTGCTTAATACAGATCCTTTTACATATGCTTTGTTTTTTGATACACATGTGCATGTATCACAAGTAGGGCTAACAGTTATTTTCATCATCAGTTTATCTGGCAATTGTAACAGCTGAACACAGAGATAGGACACAAACGCATGACTTGAGACACTCAGTGGGTTAAAACAACAGACTTTACTTAGTAAATAGGGCTGCAACTAACAGCTGTATTCATTTCTGATTCATCTGGCAATAATTTTTTTAAATCGTTCAGTCATGAAAAGCCAGAATATAGTGAAAAATACTAGTTATAATTTCCCACAGAGCAAGGTGAAGCAAGCTGGTGCAAAACCCAAAGATATTTGCTTTAGTATCATAATGGCAAAAGAGTGCATCAAATCATCACGTTAGAGGCTGGAACCTGCAAAGATTTTACATTTTTACTTAAAAAGTAACTAAAACTATAACTTTTTAATCATCAAAATGATTGCCGATTCATTTTTTATCAGTCAATTAATCAACTAATTGTTGCAGCTCTGACCTTAAGCCAAGGTGTAGCCAGAACTTGGATTTTATTGCTGAAGTCAGAAAACCTCATTCAAAATACCACTAACATAAGTAACTGCACTAATAACTAACAATCCAGTTTCTCACCAGTATTTCATGTGGCTTCATGTTAAGGATAAAGACAGTAGTTTTTCGCATAACAATCTAATATTATCGTTGACTTTATAATGGATTCTTGTGTTTTTAGTTTCATATTCAGAAGATGGGTATGTTGGATCATGATCAACACCAATGTCAACAAAACACCAGGGTTAAAAGTCAGTAGGCAGGAGTCAAACCTAACCCAGCAACCAAACCTTCACGCAACTTGTTTAGTAGGAAATATGTTCTTATAATTAAGTTCAACACACAGAAGAACAAGTACATTCAGATCTGCTCATCTAACAGAAGGTAAAGGAGCAGTAATTACAGTCATTATAAAACACTCATCTCTGACCTCAGTCTTTTTTATTATTGGAAGCTTTAGTTGATTAATGAAATTGATTGACATTTAAACTAACGTGTAAGCGTGACTTCCATCATGAACAAAACACTCAGGAATGTGGCATGGCTGCTTATTATAGTTGGGTGCACATATTTGACATACTATACTCGAGGTGCTTTGTTGTTCATTCAAGGGTTATTACATAAACACATACATCTTATTATGATACTTCTAATGTGAAACTGTCAGATTTTAAATGTGTTCTTGTAGAGATGATGATATTATATGATGTGAATATATATGAAAAGAAAAAAGTGATTGACTGGTACAGTTGATATGTACCTCACAAATTTGAAGGAAAAAGGGAAACAGATTACACAGTCCATGGAAGAACGCAGCATGTTAGATATTTTCTGAGATATTTACTGAAATTAATTGTAAAATTGTGAATAACTGGTAAGAACAGACGATATCTGTATATTGATTCATAACTTTTATAACTGGAAAGATTATTTTAGATTATCCAGGCCTATTCATACTGGAGTAAAAGTAATTATACAAAACACTCTTGCTATGAGCCCCACAATGCACCACAGTTATGAATGTAAGTGAGAAAATATATTTTAACAGCTACAACTGGTATGAAACTAGAATGAAACTAAAAATCATACAAGGATCAAATTTATGCTGTGACAAGATCCATAGTGAAAAATCGTGTAGAATATGTTTGAAGTCCAAGTAAAACCTATTCAGTCTAAACAGGGAATCATTTTACTGCTGCAGGTTTCAGGTCTGTGTGTCATTATGTCCAATACCTGAGTGGATCCAAATGATCTGATCACATGGTACCTTACGATCACAGTGGTTTTTTTGGAATTTGAATTTTATTAAAAGAAATGGTTTCTCTGACTTCATGTTAATTCTCAGGATATTATGTTATTGCTACTCTTTTCCAAAGCAGGTGCATGTTAATAAATTGAAACTGTGCATCATGTTGCTGCTGCATTCTGTCTGTTTTCTTTCTCTGTTCAGATCTGTTCACGTTGACCACATTTTGGCTAGTGTCTAACTATTCTTGGGTTGGGTCCGTCTGTGCTGAGGTCCCCCTTGGATTTGGTCTCTCTTTTGATGCCTCTGTGCCGGCAACAGCCAGGGTCAGAGGCTTTCCATTTTCAGGTTGTCCATCTGTCTGTATCTATGCGTGTCCGTCTGTCCCATTCTCGTAAAACACAATATCTCAGTAATGCCTTGAGGGAATTTCTTCAAATTTGGCGCACACATTCACTAAGACTCAAGGATGAACTGATTCAATTTTGGTGGTCAAAGGTCAAAAGTCAAGGTCACGGTGACCTCACAAAACACCATTTTGGCCTTGTGGACTGAAATATCAGTGTATGCTACAGCATTAAAATTTCCATTTCCATTAAAAAATTCAATTCCATTCCATATTGATTAAAGGAGCAAACTTGAAACCTCACATAAAAACATCCATCAACACCAACAACCAGTTTAACCTGTCCTTAAGTGTTTGATGGGATTCACTTTCAAACAGAATTTTTTGTTTTGTGTCTGACTCAGCATGTCCTGGCAGTGACTGCCATGTGAACAACATGTACAGACTTCACAGAGCAGATCATGCATTACATTATTATGACTCAAAGGTGTAATAATGTGTGGGTGTGTAAATTATATAAATTTGGCAAGTAGTAAAACATAAAATTAATTATTATAATTGTTACTAGTGGGGGAGATATAATGGTTTGTAACTACAATGATGTCATGTTCTGCCATGGCACAGATTATGCAATATAATATTACCATGATTAACACTTAACACGTGTTTTGGTTTTAGCACACATGAGAGATATCTAGGCAACTTCACACAACATCAGATAAATGTCACACCCATAGGTATCGTAGTGACAATAGGCACGTTTTTCATGTCTCTGCACAAGCGACAGCCATAGCTGGAGGCGTTATGTTTTCGGGTTGTCCGTCCATACGTACGTACACACATTCATGCGTACAGACATACGTCCGTCTCATTCTCATGAACAATATATCTCTGTCACACTTTAAAGGAATTTCTTAAAATTTGGAAGAAACATTCATTAGGACTCAAGGATGAACTGATTTGATTTTGGAAGTCAAAGGTCAAGATCAGTGTGACTGCACAAAACACTTTTTAGCCATAACTCTTCACAAAGCAATTATGACAAAACTTCACACAAATAGTTATTTATTATATTCTTACTTTCTTACTATACGTATGATTCTGGATGAACAGGGAAGTAACCTGAAACTAGTCTTCAGAGATTTACTCCCACTCAGCCACAAGTGCATTATAATCAAGAGAGACAAATTGAAACACGGCTTTAAGACTTTTTAAATTAATGTAATTTGTTACAGTGTGCACAACAAAAGAGGTTGAGGAGATATGAAAGAAGTCTTTAGCAATAAGACCCCATCGTGATATCATTATTTTTTGCCAGGGTAGTCATGCCATGACTGTACAGTAATGTCCCCC